ACATCACGTAGCACTGTGTTGCTCGCCATGGCATCTCTACACCAAGGAGGAGTTCTGCCCTTACTGCCTCGGTGGCCACTGCTTGAATGCTGGTTGCTGCAATGAACTGCATGTACCGTCTCAGCTCTTCCGGCAGTGGCAGATGTTCAGGAAGTGATCTAGTATGAACTCTTCCTATACAGCCTTCTCTAACTCCAGGTATGCCTGTCGAACCATTGTACTAAGCAGCCAGCATGCTTATCTACTTTCCTTTAGCCTCTGCCTTCTGGGAGCAGCCACCTGGCCAACGACATCACTTATGCCTGCTGGAGGATCATTGTCAATGCTCCTAAGTTGTCATTTTTCCAGCAGCAAATCCACAAGCACCTGTAGTGCTTTCCCTTCCAGGGCCAAACACAGCTGTGTTGTGTTGACAGCTGCTGTCCAGCAGTGATGTGGGCAACCATTTGCAGCTGTTCAGAGGATGGCTGTCCGGTGCCCTCATCACTGTAGCATGGTGGATATGCACCATATCTCTCTCGCCAAGCTCCAGCTGGGCTGCTGAGCCTAGCCATGCAGTTTCCTTTGCTGTTCATTGATACGCTGCTTGATTTCTTCAAATTCAGCAGCTGCATCCCACTTCTGATACCAATGTGATGCCAGCGCAGAAGAAGACCAGTCTGCCATTATTTATGTTAGGAAAAAGCTCTTTGTTGAAACAACAGACAGAAAAGGGAACTAAACTCACAGGGGAAATGAGGGACAGATCATCAAAAAGCAAATAAAATGTGGCGATAGTAAACACTTCCAACATGCAAATTAGCTGAAAAAGACTTTTACCACAACCAAAATGTAACACATATTTCAATATTAAACAACAACACCTCATACATAAAATTGAACTAAACAAAGGCTCCGGAAAGGTGCATGGCATTCTGGGAGTCCACTAGTGCTTCTCTCTTCTCGCCCACTCAGCCCAAACTCTAAGTTGGTGGCAGTGCCCCAGTATTTAATAACTCAAAATACAAAAGTCTGAGCAGCTCCCAGTGGCATCCATCTTTTGAAATCAGGTGTAAATGTGCATGAGAGTCTCAACAGACATGTTGCTTAAAATGGACACAATGTGGAGGGAGATGTGAGAAAATTCACCACCAAAAAACTATTTAAACTCATGATCAGGTTTTACTAATCTGATGTTTCCTCACAGATCATTGTTTTTGGCAAATCATTAAAAGTTAAATTGTAATGTTTATACAAGCAACTCTCAACTTGATCTTTTCTCAACAATGTAGCTGAAATTACATGAAGATAAACTATATGGACAAAAGTATTGGGACACCCCTCCTAATTATTGAGTTCAGGTTTTTCAGCCACACCCATTGCTAACAGGTGGATAAAATTAAGTACATTAATCTTTGCAGTCTCCATAGACAAAAATTGGCAGTAGCATGGGTCACACTGATGAGCACAATGACTTTAAACATGGCACTGTCATAGGATGTCACCTCTGTCACAAGTCAGTTTGTGAAATTTCTGTCATGCTAGATCTACCTCAGACAACTGTAAGTGCCATTACTGTGAAATGTAAGTATCTAGGAGCAACAACAGCTTAGCCATGAAGCAGTAGACCACACAAACTCACAGAGTGGGCTGCCAAATGCTGAAGCACACCGTGCCTACCCTCTGTTGAATCACTCAAGAGTTCCAACTTGGCTCTTGAAGCAACATCAGCAAAAGGAATGTGTGTTAGGAGATTCATGAAATGGGTTTCCATGGCTGAGCAGCTACACACAAGCCTATGATTACAGGTGTGCACGTAACCCATGCCATGTGCACTAGTGCACCCCTAAACCATCATGAATACTGGCTTTTGAACTGTGCACCGATAACAAGCTGAGTGGTTTTTAGCCCGGAGGACACAGTGTCCATGATTTCCAAAAATAATTTCAAATGTTGATTCGTCCACAGGACACTTTTCCACTTCCCCTCAGTCTATTTTAAATGAGCTCAGGCCCAGAGAAGATGGCAGCATTTCTGGATCCTGTTTATATCTGTTTTTTTCTTTGTGTTTTAGAGTTTTAATTTGCATTTATGGATGCAGTAATGAACTGTTTTCACAGACAGTGGTTTTGAAAAGTGTTTTTTGAGCCCATACAGTGATTTCTACTATAAGATCATGTCTGTTTTTAATGCAGTGCTGTCTGAGGGCCCAAAGATCACGGCCAGCAAATACTGGTTTTCAGCCATGTCCCTTACATACAGAGATTTCTCCAGATTCTCTGAATCTTTTAATGTTATTATGTACCGTAGATGATGAAAATCAAAAGTTCTTTGCTATTTTATGTTGAGAAACGTTATTCTTGAATTGTTGCACTATTTGATCGTGCAGTCTTTTACAGAGTGGTGAACCCCTCCTCATCTTTACTTCTGAAAGACTCCACCTCTCTGAGATGCTCTTTTATAACCAATCATGTTACTGACCTGATTGCCAATTAACCACCAGCTGTTTTTTTAGCATTACACAAATATACTAGCTTTTTGTTGCCCCGTCCCAACTTTCTTGGAACATGTCCATCGCAGGACACAAAGACATATACATTCACTCACACACCTAAGGGCAATTTAGCACATTCACAATTTATCACTGCATGTCTTTGGACTGTGGGAGGAAACCAATGCAGAGACAGGGAGAACATGCTACACAGAAAGGACCTTGGTCAGCTGGCCAGGAATCGAACCCAGGCCCTTCTTGCTGTGAGGTGGTGTAACCATTCAGCAGAATCCAGACGCATGCGGATAAAACTAACAAGATTGGTTTTATTAACACTAGGCAAAAACATAGTCAAAACACAGGCGTGGGTCAAAACTGAGAAGTGCAAAAAGATCACGAAAGTGATCATATCACGAAGCAAACAAAACAATGGGCCAAGACAAAAGACGAGGTCAAAAAGGCAGGCAAAATAGTCAAAACACAAATCCAAAATACCAGGCAACAGTACAAAAGGGAACAGGCAAAAGGCAGAGTCAAAAACAAAGCAATGGTCAAAAAAACAGGATCATGTAGTAAGTTCTCAGGGAAGCAATACCTCGCACTGATACTAACTAAAGCCCGGGCTTATATACTACTCTAACCGGATCATATGACATAGACACACAGGTGAAGCCAGTCAATACTCAGGAGATTGGGAGCGCTGATAGGTGTGTGAGTGCTTGTCAGAAGTCATATGATCCCCGCTTGACTTGTGGGTAATGGAGTCCACTTGAGACTCCGATTCACAAGGGAAGTTCGAAGTCACATGATCTTCCCAAAGGAGATTGGGAAATGAAGTCCGTTTCCATCTGAGAGCTAGTACAATGCGTGACAGGTGGCAGTACTACCCACTATTAATATATTTTTAATTACTATTAACATAATATTAAAATTGATTTATTTTCCCAATTCCAGCTTCTAAATTGCCTCTTCAATATGCAGTTTAACTGCCATTTAAATGCAGTTGTATAAGTGGGTATGAAGACAAAATCTGAAAATTATATGACTTTAAATCAAATTAAACTTCATGTTACTTAATTGATACTTGTTACTACATGTTACTTAATTGTTACTTAATTGACACTTATTGAAGAATCTACTTTCCATGTCTGAGCCTGAAGTTTGTCATATATGAAATGAAATATGTCGGTCAGGCAATATGAATTAAGTCAAGTAGCTTTTTCTGTGTTTTTTAAAATCAGTGAGTCAATGTAGTGCCGACGCCTAAGAGAGACGACGAATAAAGGCTAGAGTAAACTGGGAAAATTCTGCTTGTGTATGACCAACAACAGCTGATTAATAAAGCACAACTTTTGCAAAAGCTGTGTCTTCTTTAATAGCAGTAAACGCTATATATATTTAATTTAACTGTTCTACACTAAACCTGACTGTTATAGACCAGGGGTTGTTAACTTTTGTGCAGTGCGACCCTTTTATGGCTCAAAAAAATATTTTGCTGCCCTGTCTTTCGCCAAAGTGCCCCCACTAGCTCTCTTAATTTTGAAGCCAGGATCCCCTTAGCGGTGGCTATGTGGTCCCAGGGGGGGTCGCAGCTCTAAGATTAAGAACCACTATAGGCCATTTCATTACTAACTGAAAATCTAAAGGCCTGAATAGCGTATTGAAAACTCTTATTAAGTATTTTTACATATAGACCAGTTATATGGTCTCAAACATCAAATGTCTGCGTAAATTAGTAGCTACAAGAATGCAGTTAAACTCTGCTTATTGTCTGGGTTTGTGATTTCTTTGTGAAATGCTCAAAAAACAGAAAAGAAAACCATAGCATCTTGTGGATCTCTGGCAAAATGGCAAAATTCCTGAAACAGACCCCAGATGTATGTGTGTGGAAGAAGGGGTGCTAAATATGCCATAAAGTCTGTGTTTCACAAACACTGTTTTCATAGGTGAAGTAAAATATCATTACTGTAGAACTTTCTGGTTATAAAACTTATTAACACTGCTCTCTCCATCACTAAACTTCCAGTTTTTCATTTGTTTTGAGTTTGTTGATGGCTTCAGCATTTCACTGCAACTTCTAAACCTTCACAAGTGTGCATTTCTTGGGCAGGACTGCGCACAGTTTGTATAATAAGCTGCAGTATTGGTAAACTTAGCATTAATTTCAGCTGCATCGTGAACACAGTGTGGTCTCATCAAGGCACATTCTGTGCTGCAGCTGCCATGTCTTGTCTTGTTTTCGAAGTGAAAAAAAGGGAACACATTCTATACAGAAAACACACTTCTGCACATTTTAATGTACAATTACTGTTTATTTACTAAATTTAACATATTGGGGAAAAATAAAATTGGGCTGTAGCACAAATGTATTTTGTATGTTTTTAAATTGTGTTCACTTACTCTCACATAAAATATTATAATAACGTATTTAATTAAACTAAAACAATATGTTGTAATATGTGAAAGTGTGTTTACTGAGTTATTCAGATTGTCCACATGACGCTATTGATAATGATATGTTTTCTGACAGAGTCCAGAAGGAGAACTTAAATATTACCAGGAGAAACATGGAGATCATATTCAAGGTGTGTGTTCTCATATAATCTGATAAAATATAAATTAATGATTTATATTTTAATTATTATTTAAATTAATTTATGACCATAACTCATTCTCCAAAAGTGTTTTATACTAATGATCTCTTTATTCATTCATTCCTCCCACCCACAAAAACTTTAAAGTTTACCTGAACTCTAAAATATAAATGTATAACTTTGATCACAGTGATCACAGTGTTTCTATTACTTTTTATCCTTAATCAGGAGCTGGAGCATAAAGTCATCTCTCTGGTGAAGAATCAGCTCAAGAGGTTTGTGAAGCTGCTGAGTCTGGATAACCCAGAAGGCTCTGAAAAAGAGGTGGATGAGGCTGAGAACAGTGTCAGAGAGGGGGCGCTGAAGATCACACTGACCGTCCTGAGAAACATGAACCAGACTGACCTCGCTAACACACTACAAAGCAGTAAGACATGAGTCATGAGATTACTCTCCATATAAATTAATTTACAGAGTTTGAATGAGCATGATAATGTAATAACAATTGTCACAGAACTATTAGACTTGATTGATTTTTTTCCTCCAGTGCACGTATAACCAATATTACTGCTACTGACAAAGTTCATTTGACTCCTCATTATCTTGGTAAACATGTCATTTATTAGAAACTATAACATCTACCTAGATCATAAGGTGCTGCTCACTATTAGTGCCTAGAATTAATAAAGTTACATCTTTGGAATAACCATTCAGTCAGGGTTTGTGACTCAGACACAGCCTCAGTCTTTAAGTCTAGGCTAAAAACCTACTTGTTTAGTTGAGACTCAAACTATTTAATCATAGACATTGTTTCACTTGTCTCACTATTCTCTGAGGTTTTCTCATATTCGTACTAACAGAACATAATTGTAGGCTTCTAATAGTGGTCATTGACATTTATAGATTTAACTCTCATTATCACTGTAATACACTCCAATATACACTGTTAGTCACTCCATTAGAGTGACTAACAGTGACTGATTTTCATAGATGTATTTCTTACAGTTATTCTGATAGGCCTCTAACAGTTGTCATTGGTTATCACTGATTAATCCAAATAGTTCTGTCCAACGACAGGCTGGTTTCATTTTTCTTTTACTCTGTATTCAATAGGGTATATTAATTGTATAATCTTAGTCTCAGTTTGTATTGTTTTGTTATGATATTCAGTGTTGACCAGAGGAGGATGGGTTCCTCTTTTTTAATCTTGGTTCCTTTTGTGACGATGCAACAGAATTTAGACGCTTGCGGATAAAAAATGTACACCAGGCTTTATTCGAGTGCGATAAAGAAGAGGTCAAAAAACATGCGTGGGTCGTAACCAGAAAGCAGTACAATATCACCGAAGTGATCATAACCAAAGCAAACAAAACCAAGGGACTGATCCGATATCGTACTCAAAAAAACAGACCAAAAAGTCAAAACACGTATCCAAAAACAGTCAGCAAAAGTACAAGAAGGGACAGGCAAAAATCAAGGTCAGTGAAACAAAACATAGGTCATAACAGGTAGTCGCAAACAGATAATAGAAACGCTCAGTAAGTTCAAGAAGAAACAATACCTCGCAACGACTAAGACTAAAGCCCGGGCTTATAAACTAAAGGTGATAAACACAGGTGAATATATTTAGTACTCCGGTGAATGTGAGCGCTGATAGGTGCGTGCACAACCATCCAAAGTCATATGATCTCCTGAGGGGTTGTGGGCAATGGAGTCCCTTCTGGACTCTGCGTCAGAGGGAAGTTGCTCAGTCACATGATCTACTAATGTATTGTGGGAAATGTAGTCTGAGTCCTCCTGAGGCGTGACACCTTTTGAAGTTTCTTTTCTTTGTCTTAGGGAGTTTTTCTTGCCACTGTTGCCCTTGGCAATGATCATTGAAGTTTAGACCAAGCTTTTCTGTAAAGCTGCTTTGGGACAATGCCTGTTGTAAAAAGTGTTATATAAAAATTGCCTTGACTTGAACAGTTTGATTTCACTGTAATATGTCATAGCATGTTTATGACAATACTGAAAGTAAATGTTAATGTAAACATGTATTTTCATTGTTCCCTCTTTCATTAGAACTGGCTCCTTCATGTCATCGAAACCTGAAATCAACACTGACGGAAAAATTTCAGAAAATTAACGAAGGAATCTCAAATACTGGAATCTCAGCCCTTCTGAATGAGATCTACACAGAGCTGTACATCACAGAGGGAGGGAGTGGAGGGGTCAATAATGAACATGAGGTCAGACAGATTGAGACAAGATCCAGGAGACCAGTAGCACTGGAGAAACCAATCAAATGTAACAACCTCTTCAAAGACAAACTAATCAGAACTGTGCTGACCAAAGGAGTTGCTGGAATTGGGAAAACAGTCTCTGTGCAGAAGTTTGTTCTGGACTGGGCTGAAGGAAAATCAAATCAGGACATCCTTTTCATATTTCCACTTCCTTTTAGAGAGCTGAACTTGATGAAGAAGAAAAAGCTCAGTATGATGGCTCTTCTTCATCAATTTTTCCCAGACACTAAAGAATTAAAACCAAGAGACTATTATTACTACAAAACCATGCTCATCTTTGATGGTCTGGATGAGTGTCGACTTTCTCTAGATTTCCAGAACAATGAGAGCATATTTGATATGACACAGTCAGCCTCAGTAGATGTGCTGCTGACAAACCTCATCAAAGGGAATCTACTTCCCTCTGCTCTTCTATGGATAACCACTCGACCAGCAGCAGCCAATCAGATCCCTCCTGACTGTATTGACCAGGTAACAGAGGTACGAGGGTTCAGTGACCCACAGAAAGAGGAATACTTCTGGAAAAGAATCAGTGATCAGAGCCTTGCTGAAAGAATCATTACACACATTAAGTCGTCAAGAAGCCTCTACATCATGTGCCACATCCCAGTCTTCTGCTGGATTGCATCCACTGTGCTAGAGAGAGTGTTGTGTGAAGCAGAGAGTGGAGAGATCCCCAAGACTCTGACTCAAATGTTCTCACATTTTCTGATCTTTCAGATCAAGCACAGCAGCCAGAAGTACCAGAGCAAAAGTGACATTGATCAGAACCGGACTAGAAAGATTATTCGGGCACTGGGAAAACTGGCGTTTCAACAGCTGAAAAAGGGCAACCTGATCTTCTATGAGGAAGACCTGACAGAGTGTGGCGTTGATGTCAGAGAATTGTCAGTGTACTCAGGAGTTTGCACCCAGATCTTCAGAGAGGAGTTTGGGCAGCACCTGGGGAAGGTGTTCAGCTTTGTGCACCTGAGTGTTCAGGAGTTTCTGGCTGCTTTATATGCATTTATTTACTTCATCTCCAACAACAGAAATGTTCTGCAAACTGAACTTTCTGAATTCTTCAGAAAGTCAACAATATCTGACTTCCTCAAGTCCTCTGTGGACAAGGCCTTACAGAGTGAAAATGGACACCTGGACCTTTACCTCCGCTTCCTTATGGGCCTCTCCCTGGAGTCCAATCAGACTCTCTTACGAGGCCTACTGACACAGACAAGAAGCAGCTCTCACAGAAAAGAGGTCCAGTACATCAAGGAGAAGATCAGGGAGAATCCCTCTCCAGAGAAAACAGTCACTCTGTTCCACTGTCTGAATGAACTGAATGATCATTCTCTAGTGCAAGAAGTTCAAACATACCTGAACAGAGGAGGTTCCAGTGGTGTCAGCGGAGCTAAGCTCTCTCCCACTCAGTGGTCAGCTGTGGCATTTCTGTTGCTGAACTCTGAAGAAGAGCTGGATGAGTTTGACCTGAGGAAATATGATCTATCAGAGGAATGTTTTCTGAGGCTCCTGCAAGTGGTCAAAGAATCCAGAAAAGTTGTGTGAGTATTTTCATTTACAAATGTTGTACTGCACGAGCTATGCTCAACACCTAACTGTTTCCACCATCTCTGCTTATCATCTTAGATTTGCCTCATTGTCATGTTTGCAACCGCATGGACGCTGACTTGGGGTTTACACTGACAAGGAAGTGAGGAGTTTGAATGATGTCTTACTGTCTAAAGAAAAGTATTTCATGTTTTGCGGAGGAATGTGAACATATCAACAGGAACTGTGGATAAATATAATACAATCATAGTACAAGAATACTATAATGGCACCCCCAATCAATGCATAAGGTGAAGGGACTACCAATTGTGGGACAGTTCAAGTTCAGCATTTTCTTGTAGCCTGCTTTTGTGAGTCTGTTCACTTTTCACCTTTATGCAAAAAGGAACTTTAATCATTTAATCAATGTAACTGCTGCAATAAAACTTCAAAGCAGCAAACAGTCTTTGTCATGTATGCTGTTGTTGGTAAAGGAGGGAGGGGCAAGTTTGTACTTGCTGATTGTTGTTTATCTGACATTGTGTTTCCTAAAACTGCTCACTGAAGATATTGTGCTTGACTGATTGAAAGCATGCACGGGCAGAGATGGTGCACAGGGGAGGGGGGCTGCCAGCAGCATGTATTCAAGCAGTGATTGACACTCCGTCAGACACTGCTCCTGGCTCTAATTAGTTGTTTTTATTTGAGCACTATGGGTTATTGCAAGTGGCATTAGGAGCACTAGTTTTTTTATCAGAGCATCTGTCTCATCTAGCGTCAGGACATAGTTTTAGCAATTATGACAGTTATTTTTATATGAGTTACATGCTGCAGCTTTAATAAACATATATCATACTACACATTTAAATCCAGTACATTTATAGTGCTTTAGTTAAAACTAACTAATTAAATAGTTAATAATTATAATGGTAGCATATATTAATGCACAAGTAAAACCAATATGTATATATATATATATATATATATATATATATATATATATATATATATATATCCAGTAATATATATTAACATTAATTTACAAATATTTACATAATATTAAATTCTGTTATTATAAAGTGTTACCAGAATGCATCCTGGCCCCTGCTGCCTCTCAACAAAATCAGGATCACAGCCAATCCAGGTATATTTAAATAGATTAGGTATCAGCTGCTGAGCGTATGGTATTTTTATGGTATGGTATCTAACAACAATTTAATAAATAAATATGAAGTACAAGCAATTTTCTGCTACGTACTTTGCACATGCATATTAAGTACCAGGTGTGCACTTACATAGGCAGAATTTAACAGTAAACATAAGATTTTTAAAAGCAATAAATACTCGGTACACAGTTTGAAAGTATAATATATAAATACAGAAGTACTGTGAGTATTGCAGGGTATGTTTCAATTTTTAATGCTAAGAAGTTACATGTTAATGGCAAGTACTTTCAAACTGCGATAGGAAATACATGCTTATGTGATAAAGAAGAGTAGGGTGACAGATACAGGTGACAAAGGTGTAAAAATGGCAGAGTACTTACCACTGTGTACTCAGTACCTCTTTCAAGTTAAATAATTCAGTTTCATATTGGTACAGTCATCTGTAATATGATGGAAACTGGATGTAAAATAAAGTGTAACTTTGTACGTAGTCTTTACACAGCAACTACTTGTGATTTGTATGTGTGGTATTTGTAACAATACACAGTGTTCATACATAATGTTATGGACTGGATCTAGTTTAAAAACAATGACAAAAAGTAAGTGGTGTGTGTACTGTACTGTTAAATAAGGATGAAATGTGTTATATTAATACAAGCTAACAGTAAAACAACTTAATAATACAAGAACATGACAAATGATTAAGCTACTAATGCAAAAAGCAGAACTCAGTAACGAGTCAAACACAGAGATCAGAACAGAATCTAATGAGCGAGCATACACAGAACTAAAACTCCTATCTGTCCTACAGTGATGGCATTACATGCAGTGAAGGTACTTGCAAAAAATCTTGAACTATACTCAGTTGCAATTCATCAGTCACAGCTGAGGCAGTGCTCCAGTTCACTTCTTCCAGGCTTTCTCACTTTTCATTGCAGCACACAAGACTGTTTGAGAAGCATTAACTGGCCTGTTAACTTCTGCAGCTGGACTCTATGTAGCTTAGTTTATGTTTGTGTCTCCCCTGTGCTGTTTGCTCTGCCCTTTTGGATTCTTCACTGTTTCGTAGATATTCTGTCTATACCAAGTTTGTCTCTCTGGGAGTGACTGTGGCTGTAGGTGTGTGTGTGTGTGTGTGTTTGTGTGTGTGTGTGTGTGTGTGTGTGTGTGTATGTGTGTTTGGTAATCAAGGACCATTTACATTTTTGCAGTAATCATGGGTTGTTTTTGCTTCATTCATCCATATTTCACATTGAAATTTAGACAATACTTCAGTGCAGTGTTAGCAGCACTGCTCAGTTTCTCTCTTTGCTTTTGCTCTCACTCTTCTCCACTGCATAGGACCCCAATACATGGTAACTAATGTGGCAATAACTAGCTAATGTATGTCATGTAAAATCAAATTATTAATGATAATTTGTTATGAAAATTGTTATGAAAATTGATCCATTACTAGTAAATACAATATAGAAAGTTACACTTTATTTTACAGTGCTGCTTCTATCATATTACAAACGATCTTACTAGCATATACCTGATAGATGGTTAATTTCTGCATATGATGATAAGAGAACATGTGGTTACTATTTAATTGTTATGTATAAAATTACACTTTATTTTGCAGTCCATATTACAGAAACGTAACTTGTATGCATCATGTACCAAGTAATATGGAAAGAGTTACTGTACTGAAATATAAGTACTTAGTATTCCTTTCTTATGTAAGCATACATTTACAGGAATGCTAAATCATTAAAAGCTGAAATAAAGCTGACATTTCTTGCATTATTCACTACATTAGTCATTCTGAACTCATAGACTTAACATATGAAGTGTGAATTAAGTATTGCCTATTAGTACTACTCATTTACCATTAAATTCTGAATAAGTGCTGTTGTACAGACTCGATACTTTTCATACAGTTACTAAGTATGTGGAAACCATGCCAGGAAATTACTTGTAGGTATTACTTATTTAGCTATTAAATACATGATGTATTTTCTCTGCCTATACAGACTAGCTGGCTGTAATCTCACAACAGCATCTTGTGAAAAACTACAATCATTTCTAGAATCAGTAAACTCGTCCCTGAAAGATCTGGACCTCAGTAACAATGACCTGCAGGATTCAGGAGTGGAGCTGCTTTCTGCTGGACTGAAGAGTTCACACTGTAAACTGGAGATACTCAGGTGAACCTTCTGCAAATTAGATCTTTAATAATAAAGATTAACCTCTAATATTTTATATATTTTATTCTCACTAGGGCTCTGCCCAGATCACATTAATAATCTATCAGCAATGTGACTAATGTAATTTTTTTGCAATGACTTGTAATTGTAAAGCAAAGTTGAGTGTGAGAAAGAAATATCAGATTAAAATATGGTGTACTTCTTTCTAGATAAATTGGTGAAGGAACACATGGAGAATTATTTTACTTCATTTTAATTCTCCTGATCTAAATGTATCATGTGCTGTGTTCATTCTGATTTTACAGACTAGCTGGCTGTAATCTCACCGCAACATCATGTGAAAAACTATCATCAGCTCTACAATCAGTAAACGCCTCCCTGAAAAATCTGGACCTCAGTAACAATGACTTGCAGGATTCAGGAGTGGAGCTGCTTTCTGCTGGACTGAAGAGTTCACACTGTAAACTGGAGACACTCAGGTTAGTTTTCTGTGAATTCAGTTCTGAATGGAAAATAAGGTAAGAAACACTATAACTCAAGTAATATTAATGTAATAATTTCTTTGATTGGTTTTAGAATTTGTTTTATAGACAGCTTCTTGTACTTCTTGTATTCTATTCCTTGTTTTAGTATATTGTCTGTTGTAATTTCTCCTCCTTGTCAGATTAACTATATGCTTTTCACATGAATTATGTAGATTTGGAGACTTTCTAATTTAGAATTGCTTTGCACCCAGTAGAGAGAATTAGTTGCTGTTTTATTTTGATAATAAATGGACAATTATTATATTAACATCATGGTAAGTTGTACTAAACTAATTACATGCTAATTTTCTAGTTCTGTATAACTAATAAGTTAGTAATTATGGCAATAACTATTTGGTAATAAAATAGAAAAATAATGGTAAAAAACTATAATTACCCATATATTTTCATTTTCCAGTTAAAGCAAAATAATAATTCAGTAATTACTACAGTAAAATTTTGTAAAACTTTATTCTCTTACAGCATATCTTCTTAATAACCATATCACCCAATACTTTAAAATCAATATACAGTTTTATGATATTAGAGTTATTAACCCAAAACAGTGAAGTAGTTGCTGAAATGATGTGATGTTAGTGCTGTAAAATACTACTTCACTCTTTTCTGCTTTTTTAGCTGTTATGTGCAGTTGATGTACAGGCTGTAATTACAGTGAAAATAAATGGTATTGGCAAAATTGCTTCTTTCAGTCTTGTTTTCACAATTACTGCAATTTTATATATATATATATATATATATATATATGGGTTTTACCCATTAATAGATTAGATATGGGTTTTACCCATTAATAGATGAGGTAACTATACCAACATGACATGTTACCTTTTATGCTACCTACTAACAAATTATTTTTTTAGTACCACTTGTTACCATTATTTTACCATTTTACTACTGACATTTATGGTTACAATTACCTATTTATTGTTTAATAACAGCTTTAGAAGTAATACGTATTTTGTTAGGTTTATGCAACTTCTCACAATAATATTTTTATGTCATTACCCACTGATTACCAATTTGTTAGGTGCTGCCAAGAATTCTGAAGAATAATCCTATAATCCCCCTTACCCAGCATCAGTTCACAGTTTTATATTCAGCCAAACTATGGACACAGTATTTTATTAACATAAAATCAGAAAAACGATCTGCAGTGTTTTCACAAAGATATTTTAAGTATGTACTCTTCTACCCTGGTGCTTCATATTGTGTGATCTTAGAACAACTGTATGTAAACTTTTTGTAATTCGTATGTGTTGCTGCATGAAATTCTACAATTTAACTAGCTATTAGCCTAACTTTTGCTAACATTAATGTGGCAAATCAGCTTTGAAAAGAGTTTGTTTGGTCAGCAGTAAGTTGGTTTTATTATATAACATATGTTTTCTGTCTTCAGTATTTCCATGAAAATTTCTTTGCTATCTGTTTTAATTAATTGTGCTTAATCTGTATTAGATGGCTTTACTCAATATATCAGCAGAGCTGGCATAGGCAAGGCAAGTTTTTTTATACAGCACATTTCATACACCTAGGCAATACAATGTGCAAAGTAAAACTGGCAGTACTAATTGACTTTTTTTTCCACACACTGAGGAAGATCACCACTTGTAAGATATCAGTCAATACATAGAATAACAGTGTTAGCATTTAAACTCCAGGAGAGTTTATTAAAACTAGGTTAACAGTTCCAGCACCATAAGTGAGGAAGATCACAGAGTTACTGCCTGATGGCATGTATATATTGTGGGCTTATCTTTTGAAGTAATACAAAACCTCTAAAATATTAATCTTTGGGTAATAGTGTTAACATATGACCACAGAACTGGGTCCTATCATGCTTGATATGTGTGTGGAGACTTTCAAGAGGGGTGAACTTCCCCGACTCTCACACAAGCGTTGGTTGCTCTTGTTCCTAAAATAGACAAAGACCCCTTCGAATTTAAAAGGTGGATTAAGTTATTATATAATTAACCTGAGGCAGCTATTCAAACCAACAGACTAATCTCTGCTCATTTTTATTTTGGTAGAGGAACACAGCAAGGTTTTTTATCCCCCTACTGTTCTGTTTGGCTTTGGAGCCACTGGCTGATGCTATTGTAACCCCTTTTAGCCCACTAATGAACTACAGCAGCAACACTGAAAACTAGATGCAAAAGCTGAAGCTGCAATAAGGCTATGGACCAGTACAACCAGGTTCGTTGAGGAGGTAGGAAGTGGAGGAGGTGTGTGACAGCATACACAGGAGACAGGAGTAGTGTTATAAATAAAAAAGAGTCACTTTACTGAATGACAAAAGTATATACAAGTTCAAGTTGATCTTCTTAAGCACTTAAATTAATTTGGTCCTATTTGTATTCTAGTTTAAAGTGTTTAAGGTTTAGTTATCTTTGACTTAGTTAAGGCTTAAGACTTTGGGGTTAGTGTTAAATTATCTGTTTAGTTTAGTTGGATTATTATTGTTTAGGATTTATTGTTACTTTGGTATGAAGCTTAGCTAGAATTATTTCTCTAATTTAGTTTGATATAGTTTAGACAGGGGCGCAGTGGGTAGCGCTGTCGCCTCACAGCAAGAATGGCCTGGGTTCGATTCCCAGCCGGGCAACCAGGGTCATTTCTGTGTGGAGTTTGCGTGTTCTCCCCGTGTCTGTGTGGGTTTCCTCCGGGTACTCCGGTTTCCTCCCACAGTCCAAAGACATGCTGTCAGGCCAATTGGACATGCTGAATTGCCCCTAGGTGTGAGTGAGTGTGTGAATGTGTATGTCTGTCTGTCTGCCCTGCGATGGACTGGCGACCTGTCCAGGGTGTATCCTGCCTTCCGCCCAATGACAGCTGGGATAGGCTCCAGCACCCCACCGCGACCCAGAAGGATAAGCGGTTTAGATGATGGATGGATGGATGGATGGATAGTTTAGACAGATTTCAACCCTTTGTTTTCACCCTAATAACTTAAATAACACTGTTTATCAGCAGAGAAAAACAATACAAACCCAAAAACAAATAAATAACAAAACAAGTAACTGAAATACTGGTGCTTGCTCACAAAAAGAAATAGAGAATAAAGAGTCTTTTAGTCTTGTGTCTTTGTTAGTTCACCAGTCCGTAGTGAAGACAGATGTCATAGAAAACCGTTCTATTCGTGGGTGGCTTGCCATCAACTACTCGGAAGATCCAACCAGGCTCTGATTCCAAGGTTTTGATGATCCTCAAAAAAAACCTGACCTCTGGAATGTTCTAGAATGTCTGCTGGATTGCCTCAACCAGCTCTAACCAGTAATGGCATTTATCATCTTGTTACAGCTAATACTGTGGGATTTTAGACACATTACTGGGAGTTTAGGGTTTTAGGTCTCTTTTTTCACTAAGACACCTAACTTTCATTGACTCTTATTGCTTCTTTTGAGCTACTTTTCAAGTTTCCTCACAGCGTTTGACCTCTAAGCTGCATCTGTGTCTCGTCGCTTCTCAGCACGAGAGAAGAAGAGGAAAGGAAGAGGAAGGGGGGCTCAATTAGACTGCTCAGTGGCGGAGGCGGGACAACTAAATCCTCAACTACGATTCGCTACAGCTAGCAGAACAGCTGTTTGCTCCAATAAGAAAGCGGAGTTGTACTAATCACAATCTTTCAGTAGCCGCTGGGCGGGATAAAGCCAAACTCTCCATTATGATTGGTTGCTACTGGCAAAGCAGCTCTCAGCAAGCTTAACCCTTCGGTTGCCAGAAGGTTTTAAGCGTAAACTATGTTAACCACATGAAATGTGGGTTACACTATAAAAAGGGATTAGGATTTTCCTAGGATCTCAACAGTGGGTCAATACATAAATTGATGCTATTTGCAGAAGATATTCTTTTGTTTGTATCGGATTCAGGTAGATCAGTCCCTAGCTTACTTAGAACCATTAAGTAATTTTCTACATTTTCAGGATATGAGATTAATTGGACAAAATCAGAGGGTCTTCATCTGACTACTTATTGCCAAAGATCTGTATTTCAATCTGGGCCTTTCCAGTGGCCCAAACGAGGCGTTCAATATCTTGGCATTCTATTTCCCCCACGGTTAAAGGATCTAGTTAGAATAAATTTTGACCTAACATTGCAAAGAATATCCTGTGATGTGGACAGGTGGTCTTCACTGTACTTGTCTATGATGGGATAGGTAAATGTTTTGAAAATGAATTGGAATTAAAAAAATAATTATTTATTACAATCAATCCTGATGGAAATTCCTTTGACATACTTTAAGAAATTTGATAAGATAACTAGTTCTTTCTTTTGGAATGGGAAACACACTCACCATTGTTTGGGCAAATGACAGGAGCCTGTTGATAAAGGGGGTTTAGGTTTACCATAACTATTGTTTTATTATTATGCATGTACCTAAGACACCTGGCACACTGGTCACTTCCCCCTGAAAGAGCTCCTTCTTGGTATAGTATTGAGTACTCTGTTGTTGCTCCCCTCCCACTACTTAGTGGTAGTACCCCTCACACTGCTATGTCTGTCTAATTAGTTGACCCATAAGACAAAAACATACCCCATCGTTTGCCTTTACTTTTTCTTTTAATTTTATTTTTGCTTTTGTTTATGTAAAACACATTTAATTGCCTTTGTGTATAAAATGTGCTATATATAAAAAAACTTGCTTTGCCTTGCCTAGTGAAGGTGAGTTCCTATTAGAAGATTTAGAAGATTTTGGACCAGGACCTTGGAATTGAGCACTAATGTTAAGTATAGTCAATTCAAGTCAAAGTCAAATCAAAGTTTATTTGAATAGCTTTTCACAAAATGGCTTTATAGAAAATTCAGGTTCAAGCCCCAAAGAGCAGAGCACAGCACTGGAATGCAGGAAGCTCCATGGTGGTTAAACTGGTCCAGAAGGCAGGAGAGCAGGGGCACCAGATCAAGGCAGATATAAAGCAATAGCATCAGTCCACACATGA